AAATGCAGAAAACTCACATTTCTGTATGTCCATTTACCATCTTTCTATTATCCTTTATATGATAGTTGTTGAAAGTATCATATACACATACAATGTAAACCTCACAAAACAATGTTATATTTTTTTTCTTTGAACAGTTATACCTATTGAAAGGCAATTAAGAGTTAAATATCTGAGAAATGTAAAATACTATTTTTTATTGTTTCCAGTATCTTTGTTTCTGAAAATTTAGGTTATCCTGTGGTATATCTATTTAGTCTGAATAACTTTCTTAAGCATTTCCTGTAATGTCGGGTCTGGTGTTGACAAATTCTCTTAGTTTTCCTTTGTCTATAAAACATTTATTTCATCTTAATTCTTGAAGAAATTTTTTCTTGGATATAGAATTCTGAGATCACCTTGTTTTTTCTCCTTTCAGAGCTTTAAATATATATTTTTTACTGTCATCTGGCTGGTAGTGGCATCCGATGAACAGGCCACAGTTATTTAAGTTATATAACACATATCATTTTTGTCTTTAATTTTCAGCAGTTTAATATGTGCCTAGGCATAGTTTTCTTCAAATTTATTCTATTTAAGTCTCTCTGAGCTTTTTTATTTTTTTGCGGTACGCGGGCCCCTCACTGTTGTGGCCTCTCCCGTTGTGGAGCACAGGCTCTGGACGCGCAGGCTCAGTGGCCATGGCTCATGGGCCCAGCCGCTCCGTGGCATGTGGGATCTTCCAGGACTGGGGCACCCACGGTTCCCTGCATCGGCAGGTGGACTCTCAACCACTGCGCCACCACGGAAGCCCCTCTCTGAGCTTTTATTATTTTATTTTTGGCCGCATCACATGGCATGCGGGATCTTAGTTCCCCAACCAGGGATTGAACCCATGCCCCCTGCAGTGGAAGTGTGGAGTCTTAACCACTGGACCACAAGGGAAGTCCTCTCTGAGCTTTTTGACTTTGTAAACTTTTGTCTTTCACTACTTTAGGAACACTGCTTTTTGTTCATTCTTTCTTTTTTTTTTTTGAAATATTTCTTTGTTTATTTCTTTGTTTATTTATTTGGCTGCTCCATGTCTCAGTTGCGGCATGCAGGATCTTTTAGTTGCAGCATGTGGACTTCTTAGTTGCGCACGTGAACTCCCAGTTGCTGCATGCATGTGAGATCTAGTTCCCCAACCAGGGATCAAACCTGGGCCCCCCACACTGGGAGTGTGGAGTCCTACCCACTGGACCACCAGGGAAGTCCCCTGTTCATTATTTCTTGAAAAATTTCTGCAGCATTCTTTCTCTTCTCTCCTTTTGAGAATGCAATTAAACCCTAGAATCAAATGAACAAGGTGAAGTTCATATGGTGTAGTATATTTCCTCCCCATCTGTCCTGTGATTTGATGTGATCACAAAGTTCGATCTTACTTTTGATGGATGAACTATAGCAAGCTGAAGTAGAGGAATGAAAACAGCTGTACTCTTTCTTAGAAATTTGAGCTGATTTATGACTGAGGCACACAGGTATCAGGAAAGCTTAATCAAAATGTCTGTTTTGAGGTGCTTGTTTGGAGATATAGGAAAAGAATCTATAGGCAGTAGGGTGGATGTCATTTGAAGAAAGACTCATTCTGTATTTCTCATGCAATACATGAAAATAGCCAATTGTCTTTATCAAGTAAGACAGAATGCTTATATTTAAAAATGTGGGGAATTCCCTGGTTGTCCAGTGGTTAGGACTCAGTGCTTTCACTGCTGTGGCCCAGGTTCAATCCCTGGTCAGGGAACTAAGATCCTGCAAGCTGCTCAGAGTGGCCAAAAAAATAAATAAAATAAAACAAAATAAAAATGTGTAAAAGACCAGGTAAAATGTAAACACTGTTGAACTCTGTCTGCAGCATATCATAAAGTGTCCAGAAGAAATTACCTAGAAAATTATCAATACATGAGGTGCCAGAAGCAAAACTTGGTGATGCTCTTGACCAAACATTAAAATTTATGTCTGTATATTTTCTTTCTCCTTTGCTTTAATGTATAATATAGCATAAGGTGATAAGTTATATATGAATAGTTTGCATGATATTATCTTGTTAGAGTTGGCTTTTCTTTTCTTTACATCCAACTGAAGACAGAAGTTGCATACCAAGAATGATGACAAGAATCGAGGTAGAGTGAAATGCATTGAATTAGGAGCCCAAGACTTTAGTGAGTGAAGAGGGAGTGATCCACATTTTTGACAGCACCTAGAAGGCATAGTAGGTGGTGACTTTTGGTATGAGTTTTAAAAGAGTTGTTATTTTTGAGAGAAGATAAGGAAAAATATTTGAAAGAGCCCATGGAGAGTAAGGACTCCTCCTCAATGATCATCTGGGCCTGAGGTATGTGGAAGCATGAGCAGTGTCCCCCGAAGAAACCAGTTAAGGCAAAGAAGTCAAGTAAACATTCAGGAACGGGCCGAGGAAATAGAATTGATTGATTATAGAATAGAGATTTATGACCAGTGAAAGAGTCTCCCAGGGAAAGGAAGGTTTCAAGATTGGTTTAAAGGGATTAATGTAGTGGGAAAAAGTTGATTTCTCCCCAGCCACTTCCTTTTTGACAGAGCCTCAACTGCTCATGTTCGCACTCCTTAAGGGGGACCTGTGTTCAGTGAGGGTTACCTTCCATCCAGCCCAAGAATCTGGTCTATAATCCAATCATTATAACTTCCTTCTGACAAGGGTTAGTTGGAGAAGGGGTATATGACCCTATTATGCCTGATAAAATGGGAGAAAAATTTAGCTGAGATCCTCTACAAAAAGTTTTCCTTTGTTAAAAGAAACACAAAAGAGGAAATAGCTGTTCTTGTTTGTACTTGCTTCTCCTGAATGTTGCAGCATGAATATATGATGCCTGGAGCTGCAGTGTCCCACTTGGGACCATAAGGAGAAATTCAGTAAAGTTATTCCCTGTTGCTTTTTGTTTTTTGCACTCCTGTCTTTCATTTCAGTGGGTTGCCTAAAAGATGGGAGGCAAAACTTCATGGTCAATCCTCCATCTTAAATGAAGGAAATATACTTATTTTTTTGCTAATTGTAAGAATATTATTTGCTCACTACAGAAAATAAAACAATAATGAATTATATGAAGTAGAATTTTATTTTTAAAATAAATTTATTTATTTATTTGTTTGTTTTTATTTTTGGCTGTGTTGGGTCTTCGTTGCTGAGCGCGGGCTTTCTCTAGTTGCGGCGAGCGGGGGCTACTCTCTTCGTTGCGGTGTGTGGTCTTCTCATTGTTGTGGCTTCTCTTGTTGTGGAGCACGGGCTCTAGGCCTGTGGCCTTCAGTAGTTGTGGCATGTGGGCTCAGTAGTTGTGGCACGTGAGCTCAGTAGTTGTGGCTTGTGGGCTGTAGAGCACTGGCTCAGTAGTTGTGGCGCACAACTGCTTGTGAGCTTAGTTGCTCCGGGGCATGTGGGATCTTCCCGGGCCAGGGATCGAACCCATGTCCCCTGCATTGGCAGGTGGATTCTTAACCACTGCACCACCAGGGAAGCCCTGAAGTAGAATTTTAAATATCCCTAGCCTCAGTGGTTTTACTATGCATGTAAAATAACTTCTGTCTACAAACACATTAATATTTTTTTTACAAATATTGTACAATATTAAATATCAGTAACTTGCAGCTTTGATTTAATGATATAGAAGTGGAAAGCTTCACAGAGGAGAATATGCTTGAAGAGTCCTAATGGATGATTAATAGCTTACAGGTGGGGAAGGTGAATGACTAGCAGGGTGATACGGGGAGATTTATGTAAATAGGGTGATATTTATGTCTGAGAGAAGATCTTGTGCAAAAGCTAACAATGGTGGTCATTTTAGGAGACCAATTAGCATATTAAATGATATAGAGTGAAGAAGTTTCTAAGGTGAGTGGTGGGAAATGAAGCTGAAAAGGTGAAACAGTGGATTAGTTGAAAAAGGGCGCAAATGCCATGCCTAGTGTGAACTTTATAATGTAGAAGATAGAGGGGTTTTAAAAGCAGTTGATCAAAATGATCAGATGAATGATTTAAAAATAACACAGTTTCTCAAGGTCAGTCAACTGCAAGTTTCAGATGCCAGCCCTGGCATTTAATACTTAGGAAATTATGGACAAGGTATTTAACTACTCTCTGTTTCCTTATTTGCCAAATGGGGACAATGGCAGAAGGGTGGTGAGGATTGAATGAGAAAGCCCATGTGAAATACCTGGTCCAGTTCCTGGCATATAGTAAGTTTTCAATAAGTACTGGTTTTTCTTTAGTGCCTGTCTTTTTTGGTTGTACTATGGTTGATTAAAAAAACAATCTACGAAAGTATCATTACCCTACTTGTGGAGGGAGAGGGTTTGGGAAACTTTAAAAATATTATTTACTTCAAGCCAAGTGAATTTCATTCAGAACTATGTTTGTGAAGTCATTTAACTGTTCCAAATCATTTAGACTCAGAACCTAGAGAACATTGCTCAAATTCAGTTCAACAAACCTGTATTGTGTAATTCCTGGGTAACAGGCAAGTACTGAGCATTAGGGAATATACAAATAAAAATGCATGGACTCTAGCTTCAATGAGATAAATAGACAACTGTGTACAATGGGATGAAAACAGCAGTAGAAGTGTATGTTAACAACACTGCCCAGCTGGTCTCTGGCAAACATTATGATCTGTTTTTCAGAATGTCCTCATTTCCTGTTAAGCAGCAAGAAGTTAGCACCACTGATGTAGAGGCATGCCATCCTTCCAGCATGTTTTCTCATACCCGAACCTCGGCTGATTGAATGTGTTCACCATGGGATGTGTTCTTTTCTGTGGGAACATAGTGTGAAAACTGCAGTTACACACAAATATTTAAAAACTGGCATATCTAGAAAGCTCTAGCTGGGTTTTTTATATCCCTGTTATAGAAATGATAACTTAATGCCTAAAATATGAACTATGCATCTAGAATAGTTCTTAGGCACATTTTCTGAATGTAGTCTTAAACTCCTTTTATTTTCATTTTAGTTCTTTTACAGAGCTACCTCATCTGGCAGGAACAGAACAAAATTTGCTGCTGGCCAAGAAAATCCAAACCCAGTGGAAGGAATCTGGACTGGATTCAGCCAAGTTGGTTCACTATGATGTTCTCCTGTCTTACCCTAATGAGACAAATGCCAGCTACATATCAATCACGGATGAACATGGAAATGAGGTGATTGTTTTACAATATTGAGTTACTTTCAGGTGTATAGCAAAGTGATTTAGTTTTTTTTATAATATATATATATTTCAGATTATTTTCCATTATAGGTTATTATAAGATATTGAATATTGTTCCCTGTGTTATACAGTAAATCTTTGTTGCTTATCTACTTTATATATAGTAGTGTGTATCTGTTAATCCCATATTCCTATTTTATCCCTCCCCCCTTCCCTCTTTTGTAATCATAAGTTTATTTTCTATGTCTGTGAGTCTTTCTCTCTTGTATATAGATTCACTTATATTATTTTTTAGATTCCACATATAGGTGATATCATATATTTGTCTTCCTCTTTCTGACTTACTTCACTTAGCATGATATTCTCTAGGTCTGCCCATGTTGCTGCAAATGGCAATTTCATTCTTTTTTATGGCTGAGTAATATTCCATTGTATATATAAACCACATCTTATTAAAACAACTGTCTGTTGATGGGCACTTGGGTTGTTTTCATGTCTTGGCTATTGTAAATAGTGAACATTTGGGTGTATGTACCTTTTTGAATTAGATTTTTTGTCTTTTTTGGATATATGCCCAGGAGTAGGATTGCTGAATCATATGGTAGCTCTATTTTTAGTTTTTTAAGGAACCTCCATACTGTTCTCCATAGTGGCTGTACCAATTTACATTCCCACTAACAGTGTAGGGGGGTTCCCTTTTCTCCACACCTTTTCTGGCATTTGTTTTTTTAAATTTTTTTTGAAGTATAGTTGATTTACAGTGCTATGCCAATCTCTGCTTTACAGCAAAGTGACTCAGTTATACACATAGAGACATTCTTTTTTTTATATTCTTTTCCATTATGGTTTTTTCAAGCATATGTTGTTTGTAGACTTCTTGATGATAGCCATTCTTACCACTGTGAGGTGATACCTCATCGTGGTTTCCATTTACATTTCTCTGATGGTTAGCAATGTTGAGCATCTTTTCCTGTGTCTGTTAGACATCTGTATGTCTTCTTTGGAGAAGTGTCTATTTAGGTCTTTTGCCCACAAAATGCATTATTCCTTAATAGCAATCCGAAATAATTCTAACTTCATGTGTTTCAATTCTTGCTAGATTTTCAATACATCATACCATGAGCCACCACCAGATGCATATGAGAATGTTAAAAATATTGTACCACCCTATAATGCCTTTTCACCGCAGGGCACACCAGAGGTAAGATAAAAGACATTTTTTATTCAACTCTTTAAATCTTTTTTAAAGAAACCTATGTAGAGGACTAAAACCAAGATTAGGTGGATCATACATGCTAATTCATACTTTGAGGTTTGATGCTATATACAGCCTTCCTAAAAATAATTTTTAAAAAGGAAAAAGAAAAAAATAAAGAAAATAAATACATGAAAATTGGACCCTGATAAGCAGATGCCACTCTTTGAAAATTAAGAAACTGCTGAACATGTCTTTAATTCAGTAATGACAATAGATGGTTTTCAAGTTTTTTTCCTTTGTTCATAGTCTGACTTTGTTATAGATTTATAGATCTGAATTTATAAATCATACCACAGAAATTCTTAAATTAATACCATGGTTGGAAATCAAACATAGTTAGGATTTTAAAAATTATTTTTTAAAATATTTTTTAAATATTTTATAAATAAAATAGGATATTTTATTTATCCTATTTCCCATGGCTCAGGATATGCTAATAATTTCCTCAAGACAGAGCACACTGTCTAAAATGTTTTACATATTGTCTTTTTCTTTTTTTAAACTTTCAGGATACTGAAATATTTTTAAAGACTTCTACAGAATTAGCATGGATCTGTTTATTAAGCCCAAGACAGGAAAGATAACTTTTGATGATGCAGTATTGCGGAGCAAATTTATTCTTTGGTTTTCTCTTTAATTATAGCAGTATTATGTATTTTTTATTTTGTTTTATTTTTGTTTTCCTACAGGGGGAGCTTGTATATGTGAACTATGCTCGTACTGAAGACTTTTTCAAACTAGAAAGAGAGATGAATATCAACTGCACTGGAAAAATTGTTATTGCAAGATATGGGAAAATCTTCAGAGGAAATAAAGTATTGTGTTATTTGCTTTTCTAGAGGGAAAAAGACAGGATATAACCTGTGAATATAAATGATCAGCTTGCATTATGGTTTCCAAAATTGCTTTATATATACATATATATATATATATACACACACACACACACATATATATATATGTAAATTTGCTATTTTCATGGTTGCACAGAAAATCCTGGTTTATTTTTGAGGTTTTTTTTTGCTACCTCACATATCTAGAAAGGGAAATTATTCTTAATAGTTTTATTACCAAAGCAATGTTATTTTTTATTTAATTGAAGAAATTCTATATAACCTAAAAAATGAAAATCTCCTGTGTATTACTCAATTTCATTGCCCAGACATAATCAATCTTAACAGGTCTTTCCAGGCCTATGAAATATGAATATATTATATGAATATAAGTATTCTCCATATACTCATATTACACAATTTTTTTTTACAAAGAGGGCATTAGATACTATATATTATATATCTTTATTTTTTCTCTCAATAATAACTCAAGGGTATTCTTCCATGTCAACACATTGAGAGTTGTATAATAAAGTGGTTAAGAGTATAGGTAGCTAGATCCATACAGCCTGGGTTCTGATCTGGTCTGGGCCCTCTATTCTCTAGATCTTTTCCTGTGAGCAAGTTAGTTAACCTCTCTGTGCCAGTGTTTCCTCATATATGAAATAGGAATGCTAATAATAACACTAATCTCTTAGAATCCACAGTAGGATTAATCGACTTTAGGTTTGAAAGCGCTTAGGATAGTTACCGGTACTTAGTAATTTCTTGGTAACTGCTTATCAAGTAAATACCTCATTACTTTAGATGACTATGTAGTATTTCACAGAATTGATAAGCAGTTTATTTAACCATTGCTCTGTTGACAGATCCTTGGCTTGTCTTAAATTTGTTACTATTACAAATAATTATATTGTTAGCATCTTTGTCCATTTGTACTTGAACATTCGTGTGAAGATTTTTGTGATATAGATTCATTCCTAGAAGTTGAATGACTAAATCATAATGCACAGTTGACTCTTGAACAACACAGATTTGAACTGCATGGGTCCACTTATACGTGGATATTTTTCAATAATAAGTAGTACAATACTACATGGTTGGACATTAGTTAAATCCGCGGATGCAGAGGAATGGTGGATCCAGAGGGCCAACTATTAGTTATTCTTGGATTAACCCTGCATTGTTCAAGGGTCAATTGTATATTATTTCAGAAGTTTGATGGGCATCATTGAGTTGTGCCAGATTTTACTCTTTCTAATGTTATAAAAGAGTGCTTTCTGAATACTGGAAAGTGTTTAAGTTGACTGATAGTTATCTATCTTTCGCTATAATACTTTTGGTAGTAAAGAATTCAGTATCTTACAGGAGAGATTTTCCTATTTGTGGTCAGTTTGAATTATTAGAAAAAATGTTTACAAAACACTATGGGCAATGTTTCACACACTATGTTCTGTGTAGAATTTTATGTTTTATGTTATATTATGTTATTTATTTTTTGACCACACGGTGTGGCTTGTGGTATCTTAGCTCCCCAACCAGGGATTGAACCCGGGCCCTCTGCAGTGAGACTGCAGAGTGTTAACAGTGGACTGCCAGGGACTTCACCTGTGTAGAATTTTAAATTAGTTTAGTTCCACAAATATTTACATCATGCTTACTCTATGATGTACTAAATGTTGGAGGGTAGATAGTTAAAAATGAGTAAGACAGGGTCCCATTCTCAAAAACAGCCTCAATGTAGTAGGGGAGAAAGATGTTTAAAACATATTTTATAATGCTTTAATCCATCTTGTAATATAATTATATACAAAATATAGAAGACATACCAAGAAGGGAGACATTAATTTTGCAGTTTTAGTGATAACAGGAATGCTTCACAGAAAAGGCAATAACTTGTTTGGAATTATGTTGAATAATGAGAGTTGTGAAGTCTATCAAGACAGAAATTGTATTCAAGGCAAAGAGAACTGAATGTGTAACAGCGTGATATAAAACAGTGTGTAAATTTCCTTATGTCATTAAATTGATTTGCTCTTAGATTTGTAAATCAGTCATTTTCCATTTCTACATTATGGATTGCACATTGCCCCTGTAGGTTAAAAATGCCATGTTAGCAAGAGCCAAAGGAATCATCTTGTACTCAGATCCAGCTGACTACTCTGCCCCTGGGGTACAGCCATACCCAAAAGGATGGAACCTTCCTGGAACTGCAGCCCAGAGAGGGAATGTGTTAAACTTGAATGGTGCTGGTGACCCGCTCACTCCAGGCTATCCAGCTAAAGGTAATAGATAAGCCTGTTATGGTCCACTCATTTTTGCAAAAATATTACTTGCCCTTACAGAAGGCATAAAAACAAGCAAGCATCTATAGAATAACATTAAAAACTGTGTGCAATTATATTTTGGATTGCTATTGCTAGGAATTCAAAAGCATTTCCCTTTTATTTCAGTTTTAAATTTTCATGAAGTGTGGACATGGAGAGGGGGGAGGGGTCAGTTCAATTCTCTCTCTACCTTTAGTAGAGGTTCAGAAACACAGATTCTTATGTCCAAAGTAATATTACTCTTACCAAACCAGAACTTAGGGTTTCTGAATTGTCTAATGATTTATTCTTCTGTAGATCACGTATTTCTATTTTTTAATATACCAATGGGTTTTTTGTGTTATTTAATATGTGAAATGTGAAAAGTTTTGACATCTGCATAACCATATCCACAATCAAGATAATGAACATATCCATTACCCAAAAAAGTTTCCTCTCATCTTTTTGTAAAGCCTTCGTCTCAACCCTACCTCCTCCCTGCCAATCCCTAGGAAATCATTGATTTGCTTTCTGTCAGTATAGTTATTTTGAGATTCATTTATGTTGATGTCTGTGTCAGTATTTCATTTCTTTTCTTTTTTTTTTTTTTTGTGCTGAATGGCATTCTATTGAATGGATACTCTACAGTTTGTTTATTCATTTACTTTTTGTTGGAAATTTGGAATGCTTTAAGTTTTGGAGATATTACACATAAAGCTGCTGTGAACAGTTGTATGCAAGTCTTTATATGTACATATGTTTTTATTTCTCTTGAGTAAATACATAGAAATGGCACGGCTGGATAATATGATAGATGATTTTCAAATTGTTTTCCAAATTGGTTGTACCATTTTATATTGCAGCAGCAGTGTATGAGTGTTCCAGCTGCTACACCGTTGTCAGGACTTAGTATGGTCAATCTTGTTAACTTTACGTTCTAATAGATATGTACATCCTCCAAGTTACAATTCTTTTTCAAAGTTTTGGTAGGTCCTTCCCATGTGAATTTTAGAACCAACTTATCAATTTCTACCAAAAAGTCTCCTGGGAGGTTGATTTGAGATTGAATTAAACCTATAGATCAGTTTGAGCAGAATTTACATTTTAAAAATATTGAATCTTCTGATCCATGAATATGGCACAACTATCCATTTACTTAGGTATTCTTTACTTTCTCTCAGCATGTTTGTAGTTTCACTGTACAGACCATGCATGTCTATTTTCACATTTATCCATAAAAATTTCAAAGTTTTATGCTGTTTTAAATTACATTTTAAATTTCAATTTCCAGTTGGTCATTGCTAGTAAATAGAAATGTTATTTTATTTTTAGAAGAAATATATTGATCTTGTATTATGAAAGCTTGTTAAACTAATTCATCCCACTAGGTTTTTGTGGATTCTATCAGAGTTTTTGCATAGATGATCATGTCATCAGCAAATAAAGACAGTTTTATTTCTTTGTTTCTAATCTGGGTGCCTTTTATTTTCTTTTCTTATTGTAGCGTCTGGTACCTCTAGAACATTGCTGAAAAAAGTTGTTAGAGCAGATATCCTTGCCATGTTCCTGCCCCAAAGACTGTCCTAGTCTTTCTCTGTTAAGTATAATAGTAGCTGTATATTTTTTATAGATTCTTTTTATCAGATTGAGGAAGTTCACTTCTAAAGTGCTACGAGTTTTATCTTAGCACATTTATCTCATTTCACTAGCAGTATGTATTGGATTTTGACAAATGCTTTTTTTAATTTTTAAATTTTTGGCTGTGTTGGGTCTTCGGTGCTATGCATGGGCTTTCTCTAGTTGTGGCGAGCTGGGGTTACTCTTCCTTGTGGTGTGCGGGCTTCTCATTGCAGTGGCTTCTCTTGTTGCAGAGCATAGGCTGTAGGTGCGCAGGCTTCAGTAGTTGTGGCTTGCAGGCTCTAGAGCACAAGATCAGTAGTTGTTGCACACGGGCTTAGTTGCTCCACGGCATGTGGGATCTTCCCGGGCCAGGGCTTGAACCCATGTCCCCTGCATTGGCAGGTGGGTTCTTAACCACTGTGCCACCAGGGTAGCCCCTTGTCAAATGCTTTTACTGCATCTATTATAGTGATCTTAAGTTGTTCATATTTATGTTCTTTCAATTATACAGATTGATGTTTTTTTTTTTTTTGGCCATGCTGCACAGCTTGCAGGATGTTCCTCAACCAGGTATTGAACCTGGGTCATGGCAGTGAAAACCCAGAATCCTAACCACTAAGCTACCACGGGGCTTCTCAGATTGATTTTTGAATGTTAAACCACAACATCCTGGGACAGACTCTACTTGGTCACAATGTATTATTCTTTTCATAGTGTTGGTATATTATTGGATTTTTGCTAAAATTTTATTAAGAATCTGTCTTTAGTAATAAGGGATATTGTTTATCCCTTATTGCTATCAATTTATTTTCTTGTAATATCTCTGTCTCCTCGGTAACAGTAACGTTGGCTTCATGGAATGAGTTAAGAACTATTTCATCTTCTTCATTTTTCTGCAAGTGTTTATATAGAATGGGTTTGATTTTTGTCTGTGAATGTTTGTAGAATCCTTCAGTGAATCCATATGGGCCTGGTGTTTTTTTTGTAGGAATGTTTTTAACTACAAATTCAATTTCTTTAATAGATATATGGCTGTTTAGGTTACCTATTTATTCTTGAGTGAGATTTGGTAGTTTGTGTTGTTTAAGAATTTTGTCCATTTCATCTAAGTTGTCAAATTTATGGGTTTAGAGTTGTTCATAATACATTCTCTCTCTTTCTCTTTCTCTCTCTTTTTCTGCAGGTACTGGAGTGCTATTCTCGTCTTTATTCCTGATATTAGCAATTTATATATTTTTTCTTCTTTTCCTGATTTGTCTTACTAGAGATTTATCAATTTTATTAATCATCTCAGAGAGATCATCATTTTTCTGTTTCCTATTTCTTAGATTTCTGCTCTGATGTTTAGTATATCCTTCCTCCTGCTTATTTTTGCTTTATTTGCTCTTCTTTTTTTACTTTCTTAAGTGGAATCTGATGTCACTTGTTTGAAACCTCCCTTTTTTCTTCTTCTTTTAAAAAAATATTTATTTATTTATTTGGCTGCTCTGGGTCTTAGTTGTGGCATGCAGGATCTTCGTTGTGGCATATGGGATCTAGTTCCCTGACAGGGATCAAACCTGGGCCCACTGCGTTGGGAGCTCAGAATCTTAACTACTGGACTACCAGGGAAGTCCTGAAACCTCCCTTTTTTCTAAGATAGTGGTAATAATGCTCTAGAGAATTCTATTTTGGCTGAAAAGCAAAGTCCCAATTAGGTTTTAAGCCTGACGATACTTTTCATCTTCCTTTAAGGAGAATATTGTTACTGTTTGAGTAAGAACCTTATCACTTATTCACAATATCTCATAAATTCCCTTTAATTTTTCTTTTTTACAATTCTTTCTAGTTTCAGAATCTGGGATGCATTTTCCAGGTATCTGGTTAACTGAAGCTTCTTTAAGAAGGATTTGAGATATCCTTGAGGAAATAAAATATTCTTGTAAAATTCAAGAGAATTACATGAAATGTCAAAGCAAGTTGGGGAGTCTGTAATCCCTATAACTGATTTTATATTAAAGTATAAATGATTTAATTTCTTACTGTCAAATTAAATAGACCATATTAGATAAAATAATAATTGACTTTTGGGGAACTTTAAATTTTGAATATAATTTCAAACATATAGCTAATTTGCAATAGTAATAAAAGAAATTCCTTTATACCCCTTGCTCAGATTCTTCAATCGTTTTCCTCTTATGCAATTGATTTTTGCAGAGTACACCTTCAGACTTGATGTTGAAGAAGGAGTGGGAATCCCTCAAATCCCTGTACATCCCATTGGATATAATGATGCAGAAATATTATTACGGTATAGTCTTCTAGTTGGATTTGAGAATAAGATATTTTACACTAGTATGCCCATTTTCTCTTCTAAAACAAATACGTTTTGTATCAGAATGACTCCTGAAATTGGAAAAACAGACCACATCTTTTATTTCCATAAGAGAAGAGCAGTCAGTTTAGTGTCTATGAAATAATAAGAAAACATTACTTTGTTTGCTACAAATGAAAGTCTCAAAAGTAAAACTATGTCCAAAGATAAAAATACTGATTTGAGATTTTTCAAGTAGTTAGATTTTCTTAGATCTTCATTTGATATTTGTATTTGACCTGCATTTTAAAAATGTGGTAATGTCTACCACTTACCAGATGTGTGAACTTATACCAGTTACTTAATCTTTCTCTGACTCAGTTTCCTTCTCTGTAAAATGAAGACAGAAATAGTTTCTCCCTGACAGAGTTATTATGAGAAGTAGATGAGATCATGTATATAAAGTATCTATAATATGATATTCAATTAATGTTTGTATTATTATATTGTGTAACTGTGTTGCTTTTCAAATCACCTAACTTCTATTTTTGTTTAATGTATGTACCAATACAATTTGGTAATTGCTTTGTGAGTGGCTACTATGTAATCAGCTTTAACACAGTCATGAATTTCACATGTTCAGGATTTCTTGGACCTAATGCTTCCCTATGTAAATAATTAAAGTCAAAAGTAGAAAGGCTGATGCTTCCCATTTCCCCTCACTATCTTGGTTGATTTTTTTTCTCCTTAGCTCCTTTTGTTTTCTTGCCCATGCTGTGGGGCTTGCGGGATCTTAGTTCCCCTACCTGGGACTGAACCCAGGCCCAGGCAGTGAAAGTGCCGAGTCCTAACCACTGGACTGCCAGGGAATTCCTCTCCTTGGCTCTTATCAGTAATATATTAAACAATTTCCTCATTTATCTCAGTTATGGCTCTCTCACTAGAATGTAAGTTCCACAAGGCAATGAAATTTTACAGTACCTGGCACTTAGTAAATCCTCAATATATACTTGTTAAATGAATGAGTGAAATATCTTATCATCACACTTTATGATTTCTTCTAAGAAATTGTGATGCTCAGCATTTATCTGTCATTTTTGTGTTCTCTTGACAGCTATTTGGGAGGAACTGCTCCACCAGATGAGCGCTGGAAGGGAAGTCTTAAGGTGAATTATAATATCGGGCCTGGCTTCATAGGGCATGATTCTTTCAGGTAATTTTATGTTACTTTAGTATCCTAGAAAATGTTTACATGTTTAATGGAAAAATGTCAAGATAAATATTCTGCCAGGTATATTTTGCTTATCTTCTTTTTCTCATTTTTCATAATGAATAATTATTTTATATTGCTTAAGAATTACTTATGGAATGATGTATTAAATTCTTCTTCCAACAGTGATATCACAGCATTTGTTTTGTAAATCTCAAAAATTACATTTGAGTTATAGGTTTAACATTTTAGCTTCCCTCTTCACCTAACCTTTTTAAGTTTTTCAGATAACTGTCAAAATGCTATGCATGTGAAGCACTAGGTTAACTTGAGGGAAGGAGTAAAAGAGAAGAGAGAAAGGAGACAACCTTTGTTGATCACTTCCTGTGTGGGTTGGTTAGATGAGTTAAAATGGGTAAGCAAGTAACTACTGTAAGGCTCAATACACTTAGCATTTTGGGTATTATTGTTATTAACCCATGAGAGCACTTCGAGGAGTGATCACAGAATTTGTGTTCATTGAGCTTAATTCTACAGAAAAAAAAAATAAGTTTTCCACTGTATCAAGATAGGCAGGAAATGCCAGAGGCAGAGAACAGCTTATAAAGAGTTGCAGAACATGATGACATGATCAGAACTTTACGTACTTTGATTTGCTTGAAATGTAGAGAGGAAGGGAAACCTAACACTGATAAATCAGAGAAAATATAGCTGTTTTATTAAGCTAAAATGATTAAATCAGTCTTGTTTGCTAACAATTTACTTTAACAATGTGAAATTGTATTCTTAGAATGTTTTTTAATTTCTGTAAGAGTTTTTTTTATTTCTGAACTTTTAAAGTATTAGAAGTTCAATTTTATTTTATGGGGATTTTAGAAATATTTTTATATAAGTGCTTATTTATCTCTCTCAATTAGAATGGAGTTCTTTCAGTATAAAAGACTTTATTGTCTAATTATTAATACTCTCTAGAGGCACACAATGAAAGATATAGGCCTTTCTGATTTATAAACAGAAACATACAAACAGAGAAATCAATAAACATATAGCTTCAGTCACAGTTCAAGAGTAAACTCAGAAAGAGAACATTTACTTGGTCAAGATATCAAAAAACTGTTCACCTTCACCATGGGCACAAAATCCTATTTGATTTTAACTCAAAATGGGCAGATACTCAAATTTTTTTAAAAAATTGCTAAAAACAAGACTATGTATGTAATTTCTCGCCCAAAAGAGATCTTGATAATCTATGGATCCATTTACAGAGATTACCAAATGACAAGGCATGAAACCTTAAATTCTTAAACATTGCTACCACAAATAGGGAATAATTTACCTACTGTAAGCAAACTAGAAACATAAACAAAACACAGAGTCAGTAGAAAAAAATTAAGTTAGAGATACAGAGTTTCAGCAAAGTTAAAATTCTACTGCTGCTTGGGATTTACATCTGACAGCCAAAAGAAGACATGTCTGGTTTTAAGCTGCCCGTTCTTGGTTCTTCAAGCAGAGTCCATGTACATCTCAGTGGGACTTCCAAAAATGATAAAGGATTTTTTTAAAGTAAAACCATAATTCTCATACAAATATAAACTGAACATGTGTAAAATTTTTATTTAATGCATTAATTAATAAGGGGACCATAAAGGAGTTAAAACTGGTTCGAAGGAGAACTCAAAGATGATACAAAAAATGAGCTCCTTAGGAATGCTGAAATGAGTGTGCTTAATAGCTGAAAAACTGATTTCTTCCACATTGGGGGAAGTAAGTCAATTGAACGTTCACTAGAGAAATCATGCATTTCAGTGGGCATGAATTATTTGTATTACTACATTACTACAAGTTAAGTTCTGTCACTACAGAGTTGTAAAATAGTCTAGTCAAAGATAATGATAGGCAGAGGTAACTCTGATGGTTGAGCTAAGGTTGTTCTCAGTTTTTCCATACAGGAGTATATTCATTCAATTCACAATTATTTACTTAGCATTTACTATACCCCTGGTACCATTCTGGGTACTGGGGATTCAGCAGTGTACAAAACAGGCAAAAATCCCTGCCCTGTGGAGCCTACATTCTGAAGTTTAGTTTATTTGGAACATGATGAGTTTGAGGTGATAACAGGACAAACAAATACAGTTGACCATCAAACAACACAGGGGTTAGGGGCACCAGTCCCCGGCCTGTCAAAAATCTGCTTAATACTTTACAGTTAGCCCTCCATATCTGAGGTTTCACATCTGTGTATTCAAACAGCTGTGGATCATGTAGTATTGTAGTGCATATTTAGTGAAAAAAATCCACGTGTAAGGGCACTTATGCAGTTCAAACCCATGCTGTTCAAGGGTCAACTGTAGATAATTCTTTTTTTTCCTTTGTGCATAATCTCTATTTCAAATATTTGTTAAAATACCATTAGATTAGATCAAGAACAAAGACAAGAGCAAAGACCATACTCTTCAGAAACTTAGGAACTATGTACAGAACTTTAAGGAATAGAGGACAACATTTTAGCTGAAAAAGGAATAGAGGACAACATTTTAGCTGAAACATGCCTGCTGACCAGAGAAGGGTGTTCTGAATAGACTCAGCAAAGAAAAGGAAATCAGGCTGTTACCAAGTCTAAGCTCTATCGCTCGCTGTACGACCAGCCAATAATTGAGAGATGAGCTGCTGGGACAAGGAATAACTACTTTATTCGGAAAGCCAACAGACCGAGAAGATGGCGTGCCCCAAAGAACCATTTTGCCTGAGTTAGAATTCAGGCTCCTTTCATACTAAAAGGGGAGGGAGTAAAGTCAAACATTTCCTGGTTCCTGTCAGCCTGCAGAGGGGATGTGTTAATTTCTTCCTCCCTGCAGTCATTCACTGGTGGGCCTGGTCAGGTTGTTTCCTGTGAGCTTAAAAAAAGGTATTTTAACTTGATGTTCATTACCTGGGAAGCAGGGTTCCCAGAGATGGGCCATTATGTATAATTTAAGCTTATAGGCAACATCCCTTAATGAATAACTTGTAATAGAGTACAAGAAGTTCTTCTCTATTACAAGGCAGGGAAGGACATGTACCCATCTGAATCAAACTTCAGTTGCCATCAGGGCGAGTCGTGTAATGGTCACAGATGGGAGGCACTGTGTTTGGAAGGTTCAGATACAGCACAGGTGTTCTATGTGTTTTTATGGCTACACCCCTGGCTGAGGTGCCTTTAGGTCATTGTCACTCAAATTCCTGTCCAGCCAAACTCCCACAGCAAAGAGTCCCAAACTGAGGATCAAATTCCTCTGGAAGTCATTTCTATCGGTGGTGAAGCAGTAGGCACCCCAAAGCCAATCTCCCAAGTTGTCCGGAATTTCAGAATTTCGGGAACTTTATTTGCTGAGCCCACATCGTTCACACCAACCCCGCTGGAAGCCATAGCAGCACCTCTCTAGATAATTATTTTAGGTACTTCTGGAGTCAATGATACTAAAAACCAGGAAGATAAAAGGATTAAAGATGTAGATGAGCTTCTTTGAGAATCTGAGCAGATAGCCAGTTTATTTTCATGTTTAGATTAAAATAGATTTTTTCCCTCATTCTTCATTGTTACAGTATTCTTTACTTAATTTTCTTCATTTAATGACATAGATCAATGAAGCTGGCTTTCTTACTAATAGATCTTAGGCTCATATACTTAGAAACACATGCTAAAGAGTATTTTTGCTATTAATTTTTATCATTCTAGTAAAAATAAATCTTTTACTTAATGTCTTAAAATGCAAAACAACACCCATTGATTAGTTTTCCCCCAAAGGCACTTTTAGTTGAATACTGCACATGAATTACATATGCATTCAGAAGCACAGTGTACTTTTAGGGGGAGAAAAACCAGAATTTGCACTTAACAATATACAGGATTTGACTTGTTTGTTCTTCCATTCAAAAATGAATTACTGGGCTTCCCTGGTGGCGCAGTGGTTGAGAGTCCGCCTGCCAATGCAGGGGACACGGGTTCGTGCCCCGGTCCGGGAAGATCCCTCATGCCGCGGAATGGCTGGGCCCGTGAGCCATGGCCGCTAAGCCTGCGCATCCGGAGCCTGTGCTCCGCAACGGGAGAGGCCACAACAGTGAGAGGCCCGCGTACCGAAAAAAGAAGTACTAAGTAGGTTCCCTGCCCACCTTCTGTAAGCCCACCATAGATTAAAAACTTTTGTTCCTTTGTGAAAAAGAGGCTCAACATTTTCCCATATCATTTTGACTTATAAAATGTGAATGGCATTTTTTTTCTGACTTTCTGAGCTTGACTGTACTTTCCCATGAATTCTAATTTGGTTAATTATAATTGATGAATGAATATTTAAAAGGCAGGCCCAAATCAGAATCAACAGTGATGACCTGGAAAAGTTTCATTGCATAGTTGTCTTGTACACTTTAGCAGGTGCTTCTCAAATTGCTATTTAACAATAGAATTTATCATGCTTCTTATAGGAAGCATTCAGTCAGCCCTTTAACAATGTACTGATAGACTATTTCAATAATCTTGGAAAATGTTACCGAATAGCAGGAATTAATATAAATATAAAACACATTAAAAATAAGCTTCTTTGACCTTTAATAGATAATGGGCTGTCTCCCTTATTTTTTGTAATTGTATAGGGTGTATTTAAAAATTTTAGAATGAATACCTGAGACCTGTTTAATAATAGAATATTTTGAACTTTTTTTTTGTTGTTGGTTTTGCAGTACGCGGGCCTCTCACTGTTGTGGCCTCTCCCGTTGCGGAGCACCGGATGCACAGGGTCTGCGGCCATGGCCCGCGGGCCCAGCCGCTTCGCGGCATGTGGGATCTTCCCGGACCGGGGCACGAACCCGTGTCCCCTGCATTGGCAGGCGGACTCTCAACAACTGCGCCACCAGGGAAGCCCTGAACTTTAAATAAATATCAACAGTAGAGCTATGAGGGAGGAAAAATATAAAGTATTGATATGTGGTTTTTAAAATTTGGCTTTAAGGAGCATGCTTAAGTACACAGGAGTGACCTGTCATGATGTCTGCAACTTCCTTGCAAGAGATTCAACAATATTACAATTATTGAATTTATGTGGTGGGTATTTGGGAATTTATTGTCCTATTATACAGTTTTCTGTACTTTTGAGATTTCTCATAATAAAACATTGGAAGAAAGCTGTTAGACATAATGTTCTATGTTTAGTAATTTGTTCCCTTTGAAATTCTAGGAAGGTTAGAATGCATGTTCATAACATCAATAAAATCACAAGGATTTACAATGTAATCGGAACTATCAGAGGATCTGTGGAACCTGGTGAGTTGGTGGATTATTTTAGACATTTTGTTTTTACAAAGATTACAAGAGTAAGAGAAGATAAATTTTAGTCAACAATTGATTTTTTTTCTGGCTGATGTGAAACAACTAAATTTGGAATAAAAAAGTATAATTCTAAAAGAAGACTCTACCTTATGGTGTTGATTATTTTCTATGGGGAAACTCAAGTGAGAGGAAGTTTAATTTAAAAACATAAATTACTACTCTTTATAATGTATTCAAAGTTGTAGTTCTTTTGAACACATTTTTTCCCAGACAGGTATGTTATTCTGGGAGGTCATCGGGACTCCTGGGTATTTGGAGGTATTGACCCAAGCAGTGGGGCTTCTGTTTTGCAAGAAGTTGTTCAGAGTTTTGGCAAACTGATGAGTAGAGGTAAGTAATGTTTCTTTGGTAGGTGATGACAAGAAGTGACTCGCTGAATTTTCCTTTGTTTATAGGCAGGTGTACCTAACTATGTATGTTAACAATGATTACAGGCTGGAGACCAAGAAGAACTATTATTTTTGCCAGCTGGGATGCAGAAGAATTTGGACTTCTGGGTTCCACAGAATGGGCTGAGGTAAATAAGACAGAGAAGTTCTATTTTCTTGGTCAACAGGGAACAAATATATGTATCTCTGGATAATTGCAGATAGGTTCCATTACCTAATATGGTTTTAATTTGGATAAATACCCAAGAGAATTTAGGAATTAGAGTTTGCTTTTACTATCATATCAGATTGGCAAAACAGAATATCCTCCTAATTATTGGGCTACAAACAAATTTAGCATTGTCAAAATATTTTAGTTTCTATTTGTATTTGTTTTGTAAAAAATCTGTTAAGTTCCAAAAGTAGTTAAAACTAGCAGGCTGTTTCTGACAAATGAATTAACTTATGTAAAAACTGATACAGATACTTGGAGTTAATTTTCAAGCTTCTGAAGTTTCCTTGGAGTTCTTTCATCTAAGAGAACATAAGATGTTCTGTTAAGGTGACTATACTTTGATTGTAATTTCACATTTACAGATTCCATGTATAACTGTAACCATAGGTATATTTTACCATTCACAAAAGTTCCTGATTGTTGAGTATAATATGATGATTTTGTAAACTGAGTTAAAATTTCAAGGGTTTATTTTTCCTTCAGTTATGATTAATTTTTATTTGTCACTAGGTCTTAATGCTTAGCCTTTAAGTGTCTCTCCTAGGCCCCCTCTTTTATCTTCTTCCCTTAGCCTCTCTGTTGAGTATCTCTAAGTTCTTAAATGTGCAAGGTAAGCTTGTGCATTTTTATAAAGGCAAGTGTGCCATAAAGCACTTTCCCTCCACCATCCTCTATTTATCTTTTATAAGTCCAGATATTATAGAATTGTTTTAAAGTACGTCTTATAATTCTTGCCATTGTGTCTAGTTTTTAAATGCTTTCCTTCTGACTCCTTTCCTCTTACTTTACTTTAAAATAATAATATGAAATAAATAAATATGGGAGTAAAATCACACACATACAGTCACTTGTATCACTTATGCTTTATTCCATTTATATTCCGAGGTTTTACTATTATGTTGGTATTATGAATATGTATTTTGGAATAAACTGTTAATTTAGATGAATCAAATTTCATTAAGATCATTTACTTTTAGAAATATGTAATTTCTTATGAATATATGTATATATAAATACATGTCTCTGTTCCTATAATTTCAGCAGCTTAAAATAAATCCAAGATATAATATGCCTTGCATTAATTTAAATACATGTGGGTTAAAAAACAGTTTCAATACTGTTTCCAGTTTTCTACCAGATTCTTGATCACATTCACATTCAGATTCTTAACTACTGAGCCACCAGGGAAGTCCCATCTTCCTTAAATATAGTTAAGGAACCTTCTTTATTTCTACTGTAAATCTGTTACAATGGGAACTCTTACTCTATCTACAGCAGAGTCAGCTGTGATCTGGCCTGTGTGGGCAACTGTAGAGGCAAGAATCCTCATTTGTGTGATAATCACTCACAGCTTTAAATGATTTTATTGTAACATGTTCTTATAAGGTACAAAGCTAGAGAGAGAGAGAAGTAAAGTGGTCTCTCAGCATATTCTCATCTGAGGGTGATGACATTAGTTTTTCTCTGATTTATTTTTCTTGGATGTGTGTGTGTGTGTGTGTGTGTGTGTGTGTGTGTGTGTGTGTGTGTGAATCAGAGAGAGAGAGAGAGAGAGAGAACATCTTTTTTTATTGTCCATCCTTCTTTCCCTCTTGTTTTTTTCTCTATTCTCCCGCTTTTTTGTTCTTTTTCTTCATATCTTTTTTAAAAAAATATTTAGATAAATGGAAATTTCCAACTACTCACTTTTAAAATGATAAATTTCCATGGGTGTCCAATTTCAGTGGATCTCACACTTTAATGTATGTAAGAATTGCCAGGGATACCTTTTAAAAATTATAGATTTCCAGGCCTTACTTTGAGCAATTCTTATTCAGTAGATGTGGGGTGGGGCTGAGATTCCTTGAGGTTTACCCTTCATATTCTGCTGCAGGGGATCAAGGAACCACATTTTCAAAATGCTGTTGCCTCAGGGCTCACTGCTATTGCTATAAACAGTAGCTACAGCATCATAATATTTTTCTTACTTGTTTTAACTGAGTTAATGTTGTCAACCAATCAGATAATTTCTCAGAAATTATTGTCAAAGGCATAGGTATTTGATTTATAAAGGTATTTGCAGACCACTCTTATACTAAATTTTTCTTTTACATTCTCACAATTGTAAATGCTGTGAGTTAAGTAACAACTTTTGCTTCAACTATAGGAGAATGTAAAATCACTTCAGGAGAGAAGTGTTGCTTATATCAACTCAGATTCATCTATAGAAGGTAAATTTTATTTTGGGTTGTTATTAAATAGTGTACCATCATTTAAGTCTGTAAATTCGGCTTGTAAACTTTCTAAGATTATCCTCTCCTATGAGACATCTCGATAATACCTCCATTTTCCATTTTTACCAGAGAGAAAATCATTATGATTCAAATGAATCAATATGATTCATAACTAAGCTATTGATCCTAATTTCTTTAGTATATTTACCATTTGCCTCTCTTGGATTACTAGTTAAAACTCTAATACTTAATTATATTCTTCATGTGGAGATAGTAAAAGGATTGGTCTACAGAATATTTCATACAGAAATACTTCCTGTATGTACTGGAGCAAATTTGAAGTGAGTACAAACTACAGACTTCCTTTTGACCCTGACATGTGACATTTATATCTATAGGCTTTCACTGTATTATTACTTCTAGATAAATGTCAAAGCACACTTATAGCTACTGACATGCTGTAGTCTAATGTCTTGATATATACTGTTGAATTAAATGAATGAGGGAATTCCTGGCAGTCCAGTGGTTAGGACTCAGCGCTTTCACTGACGTGGGCCTGGGTTGTATCCCTGGTCGGGGAACTAGGATTCTGCAAACCGAGTGGCACAGCCAGGGAAAAAAGAAAAAAAGGCTGAATAGAATGAATGAAGAAAGAATACTGTGGCCTTATCACTTCCTTTGCTAAAGTCTCCCTAAGTGATACTGCCTTACTGAAGGATGAGAGCTGCTGCCTTAGCAGCAAAATCCAGCTATGCCCTCCAATGTCCCAAGTGTTTACCGCAGCCTCTCTCACCCCTGAAGAATTATTTCCACACTATTTTTAATTCTCTGGGAATGATGCCTTTAATTTGAAGTAATTATATCTTGTTTATAATTAGAAAATGAAGTTAGAATTAAATAGATTGGAGTTTCATTTGGAAGTATTAATATACTCTGTGTGTCTTATTTATTTTTCAGGCAATTATACTCTCAGAGTTGACTGTACACCCCTTCTTTACCAATTGGTGTATAAACTGACAAAAGAGGTATATAAGTAGTTCTGTCTTAATGTTTTCTGATGAATAGTAAGTGAATAACTTGTTTTCTAAATTAGTGATACTTATTTTTAAACTGGCAACACACAGCTCATTTGTATTGATATAATAACTAAGCAGAACAAAATCTTTAATGTAATATTTACTTATGTGACATAACTATGAAAATAGTAGCGCTAGTTTCTGTCCTAATAATAGTTCTTAATAATTGTATACATTTGTTATAAAGTATGGGGTCTGTCATTTCGTTTGGCATAGGCATTTTTATATAACAGAAAGAACGCTGAGCTGGAATGGAAAAGCCTTGATTTCAAAGATTGCCTTGGCTACTCATTCATTCGTTCATTCAACAAGTGTTTATTACGAGGTTACTATGTATCAGGCCCTATAAAATGAATTCTAGCAGCAGCAATGATAAAAGGAAAAGATTACTGAATCCAAATACTTTGTGATCTAGAGAGGATACAGACCTATAAATGAGGAACTATATATATTTCACTAGAGTATTGGATACTATATACAATGGAGAACAATTGTGGAACAGAGAAGCTAAAATCCTGGGGCAGCTGGGGAAGTGGGAAAACATTAGAGGATGCTTCCTGAAGAATTAATGGTTGGGCTGTAATATGGAGGGATGTGAAGGTAAGGGAGACACTTTCTCAGCAGAGGATGTAGTACCTAAAAAAAGATGTGGAGGTATGAAAGAACGTATTTCTTGACCTGTAGGTAACTTAGTGTGACCTAAGCATAAGGTGTTGGTGAAAGGCTGGTACAAAATGGCGCATGACAAATAGGTCAAGGGGTTCAGAAATTTGGTGATGGAGAAATTCAAGAATCTTTAACAAGGTTGTACATTATCATATTTATTCATTTAGAAAGATTACTCTGTATCAGTGTAGTGAATAGGTTAAGCTGTAGTAAATCTAAAAGCAAAATGGAAATAATTCCACATGCTTACTTAGCACACAGGAATTTTATAAATATTACTTATTGATATATAAAATACTCTGAAAACTCTAATGTACTCTAAATCTCTAAAAATTATGTAATCTGTTCATTAAATATCTGTGTACATCATTAAATAATTACCTGTTATAGGATTTAACTATAGACATATTTCTTTCAAGTAGGTATCACGTAGATGACAATGTGAAGTAGGTATCAATTTTCTGTAGATACTATTTCCCAATCTTCCTTAATCTTGCCCTTTCCTTTTCACTGTTAGTGTCTTTAACATCTTATTCTGCCAAATGAGAGTCCTCTCATTATTCTTATCACAACTCTCACTGTATTGGGTAGCTTATGTCCTTGATCCTTTCATTGGAATGTCCCATAAAAACATCTCATCTGAAAGCAAGTTGTAAAGACAATCTTTATTGGGAGAACCCTCCTCAAGGTATGCATTCATGTTCTGTCCTACAGAGGTGGCTCCTGCCTTTGATGTGAAGGATAATAATAATTTAAGGGCCAATAAGCAGAAGTTTCATTCTATCCCCCCTTTGTACAAAGGCAGATGCTTTTCTGTGGCCATACAAAAACCCAGTAGAAAAAGGAGACTTTTATCCTCCTAAACTGTTTATTACAATTTCATCAACCCCTAGTGTGTGTTGGCATGGTCAAACCATGCTGGGGAGTGTGGTGGAGAGGGCTGAGCTTAGAGAGAAGGGAACCTACCTGCCTGATAGAAGCAGGAAATGGACAAGGTGTTGAAATAATGGGGGAGAACCAGCAATTATGACAGTGCCTATAGCTGAAACAGAAAATTCTGATCTTAGCTGTACAGGCCATAGGGACACAGTTCTGGCTGGGGCTAGACCTGGATGGTATGATTCTGGAAAATGAATTGGATTTTGCAGGGAATTCAGTTCAAGCAGTTTGTAGGAACTGGAGCAGGATCTCAGCTGTTGCAAATTGGCAGAAGCAGAGTACAGAGTAGAACCCAGTCATTTGGCTGGAAAGGAGCAGAACATCCCTGAAGCTCCCCCAAGCTGGTGGGAAGGGGGTGTCTCTGTGGAGTGCTGAGACTGTTTTTAAGCTGAGGACCTCGTATGCTATGATGAGGGAATAACCAACTCTGTGTAAAGGCCTGAGAAGATATCAGAGAAGATATTGTTTGGATTAAGATGGGTACCATTATCTCCATTTCCACATGTGGGAAACTAGGGTTTAAAGAAAGGAAGCAATACACCAAAAGTTATAATGCTTTCAGCATTTCAAGTAGGTTCTGTCTTTGGTCCATTTTTGAACAAAGCAGAGCTGTAAACCAACAAACAAATAAAATGCAGCCAATATGTATGATGATTTTTCTTCTACCACATGCTTCTGCTTTTCTTAGAGTGGAGAAAGAAAAGGAAAGTATAAGTTTGTAAGTATATGTTTAATGAGGGTAATAAAAAATGTTTATGTATATACATAAGTTCTTAAAATTCCCAACTAGAAACCTGAGGTTAAAAACCCATCAAATTCCAACATTGTTTAAACACAGACTTTCTAAAATAACAGTTCCTCCTCACCCCACCTGCCCTACAAAACCAGGACTCATATTGACAATTTCAAGCTCAGCTTCTTAATGTCTGTCTCCTGCCCTAAGGCCTCACTGTAGGTCATCTTGGACAAAAGCAATTTACTAAAGTAAATATTATATATATAAAGTTTTCTCCCAGTGACTTCCCACTGAAAGAAATCTAAGCTGCCCAACATTGAACTGATGACACGTGTTAAAAGTCTTAAATGCTATTGAAAAGTTTACCAGTATAAGCAAGAAATTTTTTCCTAAGGACATGGCAAAATTACAAGTGGGAATTATAAATGAACAAGAATTTGGGCTGGATTTTTTTCTTGCAATTTGCAAAAACATATTTTTCTGTAAAGAATGTGATACACAAATGTTCACATAGATAAACGTAGAAGTCGATATTAACTAACATGTGGTTTTATATTGGAGTAAATTTAGTTGTTCTACCTCTTATTCCTGATATTTGATTTATCTTTCCAGATCTCCAGCCCGGATGATGGTTTTGAGAGTAAATCTCTTTATGAAAGCTGGTTAGAAAAGGACCCTTCATCTGAAAATAAAACTTTGCCTAGGTAAATTACCTGTATGTACGTTTTCTACCACACGGTCAGTTGAGTTCCCCTTTGCCCCTTGTTTCTCCAGACAGGCAATTCTCAGATGTCTCAACAATTTGAGAGTATTTTTGCAAATTTTTAGTAAAAAATTATTAGCCATTATTTTGCATTCTTGCATAAAATTACATTAAGATATATATTAAATACATTAATAAACACAATTCAAATGAAGTAAAAAAACGAATGATGGATTATTTCTTTCTAAATTTATTAAGGTGCATTATCAGTAACTACCAAGTTATGTCTTTACCTTTAATTAGTTTAGATTTTATGTAAGAATTAACTTTTACTTCTCATTTATACAATAGCAGCTTTCTTGTAATTATTTTATATTTATATTTGTTTTCTACTCCTATACTATTTCTAAAATCAGCTGGTGGTAGCAATTTATAGCTTCATTCCATATTGCAAATAAGTCTTGTGAAAGTTTAAATGTATCTCCACTATGTTTTTTTTTCTTATTACAGGAACTTTAAAAAAAATATTTTATTTATTTTATTTTGGGCTGCGTTGGGTCTTAGTTGCAGCACGAGGGATCTTTCGTTGTGGTGCGCAGGCTTCTCTCTCTAGTTGTGGCGCGTGAGCTCCAGAGCGGGTAGGCTCTGTAGTTGTGGCATGCGAGCTCTCTAGTTGTGGCTCACATGCTCAGTAGTTGTGGCGCATGGACTGAATTGCTCTGCAGCATGTGGGATCTTAGTTCCCTGACCAGGGATGGAACCCATATCCCCTGCATTGGAAGGCGGGTTTTTTTTTTTTTTTTTTTTTTAACATCTTTATTGGAGTATAATTGGTACGCGGGCCTCTCACTGTTGTGGCCTCTCCCATTGTGGAGCACAGGCTCCGGACACACAGGCTCAGCGGCCATGGCTCACAGGCCTAGCCGTTCCGCGGCATGTGGGATCTTCTTGGACCAGGGCACGAACCCGTGTCCCCTGCATCGGCAGGCAGACTCTCGACCACTGCGCCACCAGGGAAGCCCCTCCACTATGTTTTAAATGCTTATTCAAAAAAACACTAGAGTAGAAAAAAATATTTAAAAAACATCCCAAGGTCTCAATCTCAAAAACATGTCTAATAGTTTGGAAGTATATAGTTAGGTTCTTAATGCACATGTAATTTTATATTCTGTTTTACTGACTTATTTTTGAATGAAAATCTTCTATGACATTACTTTTTTTTAAAAAGTTTTTATTTATTTATTTATTTTTGGTTGCATTGGGTCTTCATTGCTGCATGTGGGCTTTCTCTAGTTGCAGCAAGTGGGGGCTACTCTTCGTTGCGGTGCACGGGCTTCTCATTGCGGTGGCTTCTCTTGTTGCAGAGCATGGGCTTTAGGTGCACAGGCTTCAGTAGTTGTGGCACGAGGCCTCGGTAGTTGTGGCTCGTGGGCTCTAAAGCGCAGGCTCAGTAGTTGTGGCTCACGGACTTAGTTGCTGTGCGGCATGTGGGATCTTCCCGGACCTGCGATCAAACCTGTGTCCCCTGCACTGGCAGGAGGATTCCCAACCACTGTACCACCAGGGAAATCCCATCATTACATTTTATATGTATATATTTATATATATGTATGTATGTAGTGGCTTCTTAATTATATGCAAAGCAATATATTATAATTAGATTTCTGAAATAAACTAAGGCACTTTTAGAGTCTTCATGATCTTAAATGTAGACTTTCTCATGGCAATTTTCTTACTAGACTATAGTTCTCTGAGGGCAGAGACCGTATCTTATTTGTTTTTCCCTCAAAACAAATACCATAAATGCTGAAGATATGGAAGATATCATAGTTACCAGGCTGCCATATTTAGTGTCACTGCCTGACTCTGGTTTTAGTCAGTTCAGATTTATAGGTTTATCACACATATAAATAGGTGTGGTGGTATACCTTTTCTTAATTTTTATAAATGTGCCACACAGTTCCTTGCAGTTCTTAGGGCAGGATTCATGGTGCCATCTATTTAATTTTATATTATTTATTCATGCATTTATTTCTTCATGTGTGTGTGTATGTGTATCATATTTTACATTTAGAATCAACAAGCTGGGATCTGGAAGTGATTTTGAAGCTTATTTTCAGAGACTTGGAATTGCTTCAGGAAGAGTCCGGTACACTAAGAATAGGGTAAAAGCCATTTTATTATTTTGGATACATAGCACTTCATCCACATTCTCTTTGTTAGGAATTCTGTCGTTTAGTTGTTGGGTACCAGGCATCGAGTGGACATGTGGCCTGGGAAGAAGGGCAGGGATAGAGATAGCCTGCAGGTCCCTTTGTAGATGGACTAGGAAATAATTTGTGTTATTTTGTGAATGTTCACTGCCAGGGTTATTCAGTGAAGTGGTAGTTGATAGAGTAATGCCAGGTACTTAGCTGGTTATCACTACCAAGAGGTTTGCATCCTTTTCCTGATGCGGGATTTGTTGGAAAATCTAATTCTTCTTTTCTGATCTGCATTGCCTGCATTGCACCATTGCCACTCAAACACACTGATGATATGTGAGTACATGGGTTTCGAACCTATACCGTGTTTGTTTGTCTGTTATAAATTATGTCATAAACCAAACTGAAGATTACACCAGTAAACTCACATTTGTCACAGATTTTAAGAATTTTCTAATCATAATTGCAGTATGCCAACATCTTGCTTGTCTAGAATACATATCCCTTGCAAATTTGACTATCCAGTATACAACTAACAGAGAAGTGAGCAAAAACAACTTCAGAATAACACATAATAAATACATAAATCTGTATACTAATACTCATTACACTTCATACATAAAAGATGCACTTTACCTCTGTCGAAGCTTGTTCACTTTTATACTGTCATCATTCTGAACAAAGTTATCTAGTTTCTAAGACCATGTAGATTTAAAGCAGAATATCAGAGGGAGAGAGACTGATAAAGGGATACCTTTTAGTGATATTAAAAGCAATAAGAATGATAGCTTTATGGCAAAGTAGCAGATAGGTAAAAACTAAAGTTAGGAAAGGCAGACCTAAGAAGTAAAACATATTTATGTGGAGTACCACCCTGTAACAATTTATGTTTATAATGGTAACGCTTAATTTTGTAACAAAGGTTAAATGGCATGTGGTTATATACTGTTTGGGAAGGGAGGGAAGGGGCTGAAATGTTGACCTTTAAACAACAGGGGTGCCAACCCTCCCAGCAGTTGAAAACCCACACATAGCTTTACATTCAGGGTCGTGTAGTTCTGTAGTACATATTTATTGAAAAAAATTAATGTATAAGTTGAACCCCTGTAGTTCAAACCTGTTAAAGTGTCAGCTGAATAATCCTTCAGCTATAACAATACTTAGCTGCTCAGAACCTTTCATTCTCAATCAGTTGATAGATAATTTTAAACTGTGCTGGTATGCAATTTGAGCATGTACTCCTTAATTTAATTGTCAGCAAAGCAATGGGGAAAAGTTTCAGGAAGCAGTGTTTTGAACAAAGATTATATGAATTATAAAATGAATAATGGTAAAATTTTAAATTGGTGAAAATTTGGTGGTGGGGTTTTAGTTAAGTAGACTTAATTTTTTCACTCGTGATAAAACTCAGGGTGCCGTATGGTTATGTTTTTTAATATAATCATTTTATGATTCCATAAAATATTATAATTTGAATATTTAATGTTTGTATATACTCGGTCCCCCCCACCTTTTTTTTTTTTTCCCCAGAAAACAGATAATTACAGCAGCTATCCAATGTACCATACAATTTATGAGACATTTGAACTGGTAGAGAATTTTTATGACCCCACATTTAAAAAACAGCTTGCTGTAGCTCAATTACGAGGAGCACTGGTTTATGAGCTTGCAGACTCTAAAATCATTCCTTTCAACATTCAAGACTATGCAAAAACTTTGGAAAACTATGCAACAGGTATCTACAGTTTATCCAAGAAATATGACCAACAATTAAGAGACCATCAAGTATCATTTGGTAAGAAATGGCTGGACAGATATTTTATAATCATCAAGTTAGAGTTTTAAGATATCACCTCCTATTGTCATCCATGCATACCATTTCATCCTAGAATTTACCCCTGCTTCATTTCTTAATCCTGACTTACAGAAAAAAAACTTTAAACACCTATTAAAGAATGTGATTTAGTTTGATATTTGTAGGATGAATCCATTTTGCTAAGTTAGTGCTACAAACATTGGGGTGGTAAATATTTTCCCCATATTGTTGCCTTTAAAAATGTTTTGTTATAAGAACAATACTATTAAAATGTAACAATATTACACAAAGATTGGAAAGTAGAGAAAGCCACCACTTCTACTACATATATGCAGTATTACATTATTATCATTATTACTGCAGCATTTACCTATTAATGTTTTTCTACATGGAGGATTTTTTACATGGTTTTCAGCATTCTTTCCTTTTATATCTGGCCATTTTGTGGTTGCTATTCCACATCATGTATCTCCTGCAAAGCAGAAGTGAAATGTGGTGTAGTGTAGTGTAGCAGCATTAAGCACTGGGTCTGGAAGCAGTTTCCTGGTTCAAATCCTGGCTCTAATATTTAGTCATTGTGTGACCTTGAGAAAGTTACTTAACCCCTCTATGTGTCAGTTTTATTATGAGTGAAATAGTAAAGTAAAATGTTTCCAAGATTGCTGTGGAGATTTCATTTGGTTGGTATGTGGAAACAATGGTGACTGTCACTTAGTGCTCATAATGTTAGCTATTATTACTGTTTTATTGCAACCATTTTCTTTTATTATTCTGGGAGTACATATTCTTAGTATATATCAAAGTTATCAAATATGTACTGAGTGTCTACTGTGTACCAAGTGCTGTGTTATTTCCTGGGAGATATAAAGAAGATTAAGAAATAGTCATTGTCTTCAAAGAGCTTAAATTCTCATGGGGAAGGAGAAGACAAAATGCAGGGGAAAAGCTATTAAAAGGGTGCACAGAGGGTACTATAGGGGTGCTGAGAATGAATAGCGGGTGGTCAGTAAAGGCTCTGGAATATAATTACATAAGAATTAGTAACCTTCAGAAAGTTATGACGAGCAGCAGGCACTAAGATCTAGAAACTGAAGCAAAGAAAATTTAGAAAATTGTGCTTAGATCTATATGAATTGTCCCAATAAGTAAGTATTGAATGAATAAATAAATGAATGCTGGGTTTCTGATAAATTGAGTTAAAAGGATTTTTTATTTCTTAAACTCTTGAAATTTGTTATTTCCTTAAGAACCAATTTTGCCATTTTCAATTTGATACATTATTTCTTTGTTACAATATTTTCTAATAATTTCCATGGATCTGAAAGAAGACTCAGTAGAAAAATAGTCTCAACATCTATTTAGTCACAGCAATCTGGAATGGGGGGGGGTTGGAAAATGAACCTTTGAAATATGAAGCACTCATGCTTACTAATTTCCCTTCTACTTTTCTATTTTTTTAAAAAGATTCCTTATTTTCTGCTGTGAAAAACTTCTCAAAGTCTGCTTCAGATTTTCATAGAAGACTTTCACAAGTTGATCTGAATAAGTAAGTTTCAAATGTAAAGCTCCCTACTGTTTTGAAAAGCAGTCTGGTTACTGGAATGAACTGGGTACACTTATAGAAGCATTCAACCGTGAATCATTGCTACTCAAATTATGGTCTGCCAGGCAGTAGCATCAACATCACCTGGGAGCTTGTTAGAAAGGCAGAATATCAGACCCCATCCAAGACCTGCTTTATTAGAATTCTGCACTTTAACAAGACTCTCCAGGTAGTTTGTATTCACATTAAAGTTTGAGGGGCATAGCTGTTGAATGATAGACTAAAAACTCATGCCATGGCAAGGGCCAAGGAAACATGTCTTTAGAAGTTTGCATGATAAGAATTCTGACTATTTCTGGTAATTCATAATTCTATGGGTTTAAGTGCATTTGTAGCATATTTTACTACAGTCACGATATTCCTGTGAATGGTGTAGAAATTCTTTCTTTACTAATACTTTTTTTGCGTTTCATTTAGCCTCGTGCCGTTGTTAGGTTGAAAAATAATTTAAAAGTTATACTCAAAGCATTATTTAACAAGCACAATTTGTTCTACCTTACAGTCCATGTCACATTTCTTAATTTTTTTCAGATTTATCAGAATAAGCTTTCCCACCTCCCATCCAGGCAGAAAGCTGTATCAGTCATTGTGAGGGGCCTCTCTCCCTGGGGTTTTAGGACAGCCTAGGGAACTTTTGCAGCACCCCGAAAGAGAGTTGGCAGATTCCAAGTGTGGAAGGGACTCCCTGCCCACTAGGAGCAGCTGTCTCCCTCCTTGCAGACTCCTGCAACTTCCCCTCATTCTGTCTTGTTTAGCCTTTACTCTGCTCCTTTCTTCCACAGTAGAATTAACTAGTTTATCAAGAACAACTTGGTAGTCCACCCTGTCTACCTTTGCAGGAGGCCTGGCTCTCCTCCTACAAAGAACTAAAAATGTCTTTCACTTCCTTCTGGTCTGTGATCTTGAAAAACAAAACAAACCATTTCCCAATCAGTCTCTCTGCTTATTATAAATAATAGAAAGATGCCCCTGCTGTTATATGTAGCTTACCATATGAGCCTTACTGTGTGTTTTATATGTATTTTCTTTAAAATATCTATGAGTTTAGAAGGTTATTTCCTCATGCCTTATCCTTATTTAATATTTTAAAATGTGGTTGCATGGTAAGGGTTTTAATTATCTATTTCTTATTCTCAAAGCCCCACTGCAGTGAGAATTATGAATGACCAACTGATGTTCCTGGAAAGGGCATTCGTCGATCCCCTTGGTTTACCAGGGAGGCCATTCTATAGGTAAGGAGGCAACAGCTGTTCCACTAAAGGACACCAAATATGTCACTGTGACCAAAACCAGCATACCCAAGGTGTGCTTCAAACTCCTGCTATCAGACAAGTGGAAAGTGGATATGTATACTGAAGGAAATATGGGTGAGATTATGCATAACAGTATAATTTGTACTATCAGAAAAGTTAATTTCATATTGTATATTGCTTTGCTGCAGATGTAAATGGCAGATGATAGTTGAAAAAGAACTCTTGTAACAAAATCGAAAAGACACAGAATCTTAAAGGGGATCTGAGAGCTCATGTAGTTCAATTTTCTACATGAAATCTTTTCTGTAGGATCTCAGAAAAGTAGTTATCCAGCCACTGTTTGAATCTTCCAGTGAATGGAAGCTTACTACCACGTGAGGAAGTTTGTTCTGTTTTAGGAAAGGTCTACTTAATAGAAAGTTTTCTTCATAAGGATATATTTCCCTGTAATTTTCTCCCTCTGACCCTGTTCTGCTCTCCAAAGTAAAAAAGAATTAGTCTAGATCTATTTCCATATAACATTTCAGGTTTTTGAAGATGGATGCCGTAGTTTCCCCTAAAGAAATATATATATTTTTTTATCTCTATCTTAGGTTTTCTTTCAGTATCTTGGCTGCTTTTGGATAGCCTCCAGTTTTTTGAGGTACATTTTAAGCCGTGGTTTCTTGGTAAAAATTAGAAAGGTCCTAGCATTTAGAGTCAGAAAATCTGTGTTCTAGTTCACTTGCACATGTGTGATTTAGAGCAAGTCATATCTAGGGTTTGCTCATCTGAATTAGGATGGTGATAATTGCTGTTTTACAAGGCTGTTTATCATCAAATGACATATACAAAAGATACTTCTATGTTACCTTTCTTATAAATATTAGTAATAATTTAACTGATTACAAGCCCAGGCATTTAAAGCCCAGCTCTGCCAAATACTAAGTGTGACCTGGGCAAATTTACTTCTCTAAGACTCAGGTTCCTCAGCTGTAGATGGAGATTACAGTGCTTTTACTCCATAGGTTTGTAGATTTAAGGCATGCAGAAGATTTAGCTCAGAGGGGGTATACTCAGTAAATGGCTTCTATTTTTATAATAGTTTACATAATGTAAGGATAAATGTTTATCAATACAAATGAAATAGCAGCCATCAGTTAAGTATTTACATAAATCAAAGGTTGAAAGCTAATCTACACGTTAATCCTCTCTGGCCTATCATTAGTCCATCTTTATATATTTATTTTTTTATTTTTTAAAGGTTTTTTTTTTAAAATTACTTTTTTGGATGCATCGGGTCTTAGTTGCAGCACGCAGGATCTTTTGTTGCAGTGCACAGGCTCTTCGTTGCAGTGCGTCGGCTTCTCTCTACTTGTGCGTGGGCTCCAGAGCTCATGGGCTCAGTAGTTGAGGCGTGGGCTTAGTTGCCCCGTGGCATGTGGGATCTTAGTTCCCCGACCAGGGATCGAACCGGCGTCCCCTGCATTGGAAGATGGATTCTTAACCACTGGACCACCAGGGAAGTCCTTATTTTTTAATTTATATGATTTATGAGCAAACATCTCTTTGGCACACATCTAGAGGCCTGTGGAGCTCCTCTCAGAGAACATGGGCCAGGGAACGCCGTCTTTACGTTCTCCCTCTGCTTTGCTACAGCTTGCTAGTATATACCAGAAAGGAGCTTATACACTTGTCTGGAGCCCCAAGTTTTGGCTGCTACCCAGGGGACATGTTCATATGACCTGGCTCTAGTGGCCACCAGACCTACTCTTGTGTTCCACAGGATGGTATATATTTGCATACTTTAAAAGCTGCTGCCTGAGGACCTGGCTTCCAATCATCCTGAATCTAAGTGCTGACTGAGATATTCCCCTTTGGTACACTGACAGGTCTTGGCACACACTCAGCTATTGGGAGCTATTAAAAATAGGTGGCTTGGAGAATCAGAGGTTTGAGAGACAACCTAGAGCTAGGGAAAGGTTGAACAGTAAGGTTTATCACATGAGGCTACTCCATCAAGACTGTTGGTTTCTATGCATTAGATGAAACAGCCACCTCTTCCAGAGAGTCAAGCAAAATGAGGAAACACGGGAATATGTTACAAAGAAAAAAAGACAAAACCTCAGGAAAAAAACATTTGAACAAATATAAGTAATCTACCTGATAAAGTGTTCAAAGTAGTGGTCATAAAAGATGGTACTGAATGTGAGAGAAGAATGGATGAACACAGTGAAAACTTTGAGAAACTTGTAGAAAATGTAAGTACCAAATAGAAGTCATGGTGTTAAAGAAAGAATACAATAACTGAACTGAAAAATACACTAGAGTGGTTCACTAGCAGACTAGAAGAAGGAGAATCAGTGACCTGGAACACAGGTAGTGGAACTCACACAAACAGAGCAACAAAAAGCAAAAAGGATTTTTAAAAGTGATGACAGCTTAAGGGACCTCTGGGACAACATCAAGTGAAACAACATTTATGTTATAGAGGTCCCAAAAGAAAAGAGAAGGGGGCTGAAAACTTCCCCAACATGGGGAAGGAAACAGACACCCAGATCCAGGAAGCTGAGACAATTCCAAATAAGATGAACCAAAAGATACCCATCTAAGACAAATTATAATTAAAATGGCAAGGAAGGTAGAAATAAGGAGAGAATCTTAAAAGCAGGAAGAAAAAAACAACTTATGAACAAGAGAATCCTCTTGAGACCATTAGCAGATATTCTAGCAGAAATTTTTCAGGCCAGAAGGGAGTGGCATGATGTATTCTAAGTGCTGAAAGAAGAAAATTCCCAACCAAAGTGAATAAAAACCATATAATCATCTCAATAGAGAAAAAACATTTGGCGAAATTCAACATCCACTTAACAATAAAAAGTTTCAATGGGACTTCCCTGGTGGTCCAGTGGTTAAGACTCCATGCTCCTACTGCAGGGGGCATGGGTTCAATCCCTGGTCAGGGAACTAAGATCCCACATGCCACAGAGCGAATTAAAAAAGTCTCAACAAACTGGATAAAGAGGCAGTGTATCTCAACATAACATAGGCCATATATGACAGACCCACAGCTGCCATCATGCTCAATGGTGAAAAACCCAAAACATTTCCTTTAAGATAAGAAACAAGACAAGTATGCCTACTCTCACCACTTTTATTCAACATAGTACTGGAAGTCCTAGCTACAGCAATTAGGACAAGTAAATCAAAGACAACCAAACCAGGAAGAAGTAAACTGTCACTATTGCAGATGACATGGTACTATATGTAGAAAATCCTAATGATTCCACAAAAAAACTATTAGAATAAATGAGTTCAGTAAAGCTGTAGGACACATGAGCAATATACAGGGACCTATGGCATTTCTACACACTAATGATCAGAAAGAAATTAGGAAAACACCCCATTTACAATTTCATCAGGTTTACTTGATTGCTGTATCAATAATATTGTACTATACTCTCCCTTTACAATTCTCCAGAAGATGGCATGTATAGTAAGGAATACCTATGACCTGTATCTCTAATCTCAGCTTATATATGTCAGAATATTAATGTTTATAAACAGTTTAGCACATATACCTGTTTTAATAAGAAAGATCCATTTGAGGCCATACTAAAATTTTTTTTTTTCATTTTATTTTATTTTTTAACATCTTTATTGGGGTATAATTGCTTTACAATGGTGTGTTAGTTTCTGCTTTATAACAGAGTGAGTCAGTTATACATATACATATGTTCCCATATCTCTTCCCTCTTTGTCTCCCTCCCTCCCACCCTCCCTATCCCACCCCTCCAGACAGCCACAAAGAACTGAGCCGGTTTCCCTGTGCCATGCAGCTGCTTCCCACTGGCTATCTACCTTACGTTTGTTAGTATATATATGTCCATGTCTCTCTCTCGCCCTAACACACCTCACCCTTCCCCCTCCCCATATCCTCAAGTCTGTTCTCCAGTAGGTCTCTGTCTTTATTCCTGTTTTACCCCTAGGTTCTTCATAACATTTTTTTTTCTTAAATTCCATATATATGTGTTAGCATACGGTATTTGTCCTTCTCTTTCTGACTTACTTCACTCTGTATGACAGACTCTAGATCTATCCACCTCATTACAAATAGCTCAATTTCGTTTCTTTTTATGGCTGAGTAATATTCCATTGTATATATGTGCCACATCTTCTTTATCCATTCATCCGACGACGGGCACTTAGGTTGTTTCCATCTCCGGGCTATTGTAAATAGAGCTGCAATGAACATTTTGGTACATGACTCTTTCTGAATTCTGGTTTCCTCAGGGTATATACCTAGTAGTGGGATTGCTGGGTCATATGGTAGTTCTATTTGTAGTTTTTTAAGGAACCTCCATACTGTTCTCCATAGTGGCTGAACCAATTCACATTCCCACCAGCAGTGCAAGAGTGTTCCCTTTTCTCCACACCCTCTCCAGCATTTATTGTTTCTAGATTTTTTGATGATGGCCATTCTGACTGGTGTGAGATGATATCTCATTGTAGTTTTGATTTGCATTTCTCTAATGATTAATGATGTTGAGCATTCTTTCATGTGTTTGTTGGCAGTCTGTATATCTTCTTTGGAGAAATGTCTATTTAGGTCTTCTGCCCATTTTTGGATTGGGTTGTTTATTTTTTTGTTATTGAGCTGCATGAGCTGCCTGTAAATTTTAGAGATTAATCCTTTGTCAGTTGATTCATTTGCAAATATTTTCTCCCATTCTGAGGGCTGTCTTTTGGTCTTGTTTATGGTTTCCTTTGCTGTGCAAAAGCTTTGAAGTTTCATTAGGTCCCATTTGTTTATTTTTGTTTTTATCTCCATTACTCTAGGAGATGGGTCAAGAAGGATCTTGCTGTGATTTATGTCATAGAGTGTTCTGCCTATGTTTTCCTCTAAGAGTTTGATAGTTTCTGGCCTTACATTTAGGTCTTTAATCCATTTTGAGCTTATTTTTGTGTATGGTGTTAGGGAGTGATCTAATCTCATACTT